GAACCTAAGAGTCTGAACGAATGGCTATAGAGCCAGCAGAAACAGTGTCTATGTAAAAAATATTGCCTTCGAAGCTAATGTATATACAAGTTTTCAGGTGGGTACTATCATTCTAGAATAATGTCTTACTACCCACTAACATATGTGGTTTTACAAATGATCACAGTGTATTTTCTTTATCTTCTGTGTGGTTGCTATGCCTTAGCCAACACCTGCAGTCACCCAACGTCTTTCCTCAACTCTGCAGGAGTGTGTGTCCAGTGCTATGGCAGACACACCATATGGAATGTCCCATGGAAGACCCTGTGCTTGTTCTTAAGGGACTTACATACTAAGAGGAAAAAGCAGCATATACACTACAAAACAAGATAATAACAGGAGAGGAAGATGGCCTTAGAGTGCTCGAGTACGGGAGGGACTGTTTCTGGGGACAAATGGGTCAGGGAGTGGGAGGCATTACAGCGGGGCCTTAAAACCGGACAGGATATGGAAAAGCAGAGCGCGTGGCTTAAACCCAGACTCGAGGGAGAGTTTCCTCTTCAAGGCCCTTACAATTAATTTTAACATGGAACCCAGTCTTTTATACCAAGAACACATCTTCACTGGATTTATATACATATTTCCTTATACACTATTCAATCTATTTGTGCCACCGCTAGTCCCTCAATGAATTCTTGTCAGAAGCATTGTTACTGAGCACTTTCGCATATGAATTCATGGATTCATATCTGAATTTACACCAGTACAGTGCACCCTCTTTTTCACTTCACATTTCTAAATTCTCTATGAAATTCTTTGGTCACATTTCAACCAATCGAATGTTAAATGTTATTGTATACTGCGTGTACAGTACATACAAATATGAGAAGAAATTGCATAATCAATCATTAGCTTTTACTATCAACCTATTGACGTACGAACCCTTCCACTACTCAATATGAATATGGCATAAAAGAATAACAATCAGAAAAGAATAACCAGAAAAGTATGTGGTAGGTTTGGATTATTTTAGTATGTCTGGATTTCACAAGTAATGCAGATAACAGGTATCATTTATGTATAGTGAATTTATCTACTTACCAATTTTTTAAAAATCTATAAGGAAAGTGACAATAGCTAAGTTGTATGCGGGGGTTGTACCAACTTAATGTTTAAAAAAAAATTGAAAAGGAGGATTAAAAATAGGAAATATATGGAAGGCAAATTTTGTCTAAAAAGGATAAAAGGAGTAATTCCAAAATCTTTTATCTGGCAAGATGTACACTCTGAGGCTCATGTTTTACACATGAACAATATTTAAGAGTGTAGTTTTTTAATTCCAACATAAAGTAATACAAGATTTTAACATAAATGTGCCACAAGCAGGTACAAAATTTGATAAAACTGGAATCGGTCATCAGCTCAGCGAGTTGCTACATTCCCATGATTCCAGGCATTGGTCATACCTTCTTTGTGTTTGTGTTTAGGGATAAAAGAAGCACCTCTGATCCTTTACCTATCACCATAACCTGTTCTAAGAATAACAATTCCATTGCCACTGCTCCTCCTCCTCATTGAGAAATACAAAGAAGACCTAAATTCTCCTTTGAAACAAAATCACAGAAACCCAAATATGTCTTAGATATATATCTTGGTTCATAAAACCTAGCCCAAAATCATTTAATGAAAGCTCTCAAATGACCATGGGAAAAAGAGAAAATGAGCTTGTCAATCGTAGTACAAAAAGGTACACATTCCCTGAGTCTCTTAGAAGAATAGAAATACACATATAGTGATTTTGCTTATATTATTATATTATAGGCTGCTTTTGCCCATTAAAGTATCTCAAATGGTTAAAATACAAATTTATCTAATCTAGTGTTATTTGAAAATACATTTATTTGAAAATATTAATAGATTAACAAAATTTTCAAATTTGAAAAGATTCTGAGTTATGTTTAAAGTTCCAACTAACTCTAACTCTCTCTCTCTCTCTCTCCCCGCCCAACCTCTCTCAAAACAAAGGGGGACCAGCATTCAGTCAAGAAGCGATACATTCAAATTTACTGATTCATTTGGCATTCAGATCTCTTTAATCTCAGGTCACATAAAATTTTAGTGTTAGAACTACTCAGAAATATTGTCTGATCTTATCTTTTAGATGAAGGGAATGAGTCAGTGCTCTTTTTACCACAGCATGGGGTAATTTCAGTTCCTCATTCCATCAAATTATAGGAGATAGAAAGAAAAACAGAGTCTCTGTATACATCTGCCAATATAAAGAAATGAAAGGCAATAAAACTGAACAACAGCAATGAGGATTCTCAGCTGCAAAGATTCAGTTAACAGGAGCTAAGATGAAGAGGACTTCGAACACGCGGGCAGGGACTTCCTACAGAGAGCATGTGGCTTTCTTCAGGTAAGGCCAACCTCTCCTTTAGATCTGCACAGCAATGAGAAGCAAAGAGACTCACCTTAAAGACTTCCATCTGTCTTTCTCTATATGATTTTCAGGTCCTTCACTCTCGTAGGAAGCCAAGTACAAAGCTACAATCAACCAAAAGTGAGAATGCATTAACACTGAAGCCTTCTACCAATATATTATTCACCAGCATCCACCCTTATTCAACCTGAGCCAAACCCTATAGCAAAACACATTCCTTAAAACCAAATTATGGTAGAGAAACTTCATAGTTTCATTAAGAACACAGAATATTACTTTGCCTCTGATTGACCATCTCAGAAAAAAAAAGGGGGGGGGGCCTCTAGGCCAAAATGGCACTTAGTGAACTAAGAGACAATTTACCAGGCAAAGAAACAGCTTAATGCAAGTCACATGATGCTGTCACACACTCATGGTAATGTCCTTTACAAAGAAGGGGATGCGAGGGGGATCTTTTCCTGATAGCTTTGATATTTTAAAAAGTCCTTAGAAAAAAGCCAGATTTTCTAGGCCAACTTTCCATCCTTCTAATAAGTGTTCTTTATTTTTAAATCAAAAATTATCTTCATCCATAGATTTAAAAGCTTGTTATTAATCCTATGTAGAGGTTTAAAACAATCAAGTCCCCTCTAGAATGATAATATTAATTGAAAATGTTCTTCAGTCATTATCATGGATACATCCATCTACTATAGGAAATTATTCAGTTATTAGGTACTACTGATTTATATAATATTAGGATATAACAAATCAATAGGATAAATCTCCAAGTCTTTTAAAAACTCACTCTCTTCTGGTCAATTTTTTCCTGTACATCATCAATTACTTTATCTGCCTCAAATTCCCTAATGTTTTAACAGGTCAAGACTTTCCACTACTTTTTCAAACAGCAAGAAATAGCAATTAATTGTTTGTTTGTTTATTTAAATTACTTTGACTATCAACATATCACAAAACATCTTTTTTTCCTCCATTGAAGCAAGCCCAAAGAAGGAAAAAACAATTCTTCAATAACTTTCCATTGATGCCCAAAGCTCTGCAGATCTAGTGTCATAAAGATACTAGATATGTTTAAACCCAGAAACATACAGTTTATGGGTGACTATTAAGTGCCTGACAAATATTTTAGGAATAAGTTACAAAGTTTTCTGCACAATGGAAAACTCTTGAGATGGAATAGGTCAGAAGACAGGCTTCATACTATAAGAAGAACTAGACACCAAGCATTTATACACTAATTTCCTAACTGTTGGGTTTGGAGACAGTGGTGGCAGCTCCAGCTGAATGGCCTACTCACCATCTTCACTGAAGACTGGTACTGTGAGCAAATACTGCAATATCTTCCGGTCCCTCTCAAATGGACACTCCACTTGTTTCCACGTCATGAATTCACTCACTTGTTTGGCCAGTTCCCAAAATTTCTGGAAAAAAATAGAAGAAAAGGACTTAAAAGCAGTCATCAAAAATTATAAGCTTGGAAGAGTCGATTCCATTTCATGTTTCCTTCTAGCTTCTAATCTTCTGAACTCCATAATTTTTTAATTTAATAAAAACTAGGTATAGATATTTACTAGGTATAGGTAAAAATATACTCAAGTACTTCTAAATAATTAATAATAATGGTGCA